ACGATTTGCGCATTTTGTAACTGGCCAGGACAAGACACTAAAAACATTAGATGATCCAGTCTATTTTTCCAAGGCTCCTTGATTAAGAATTAATGTTTTTAACATAGCATGGCAGTCTAGATTGAAATTTAAAATACATTTTTTTATTAAGCGAGAATTTTAAAAGTTGACATGTAATAGTCATTTTCTATCGAATAAAGTAAACAAATACCGAGGGTGCCATTTAAAAATCAAAAGTTGTAGTCATTTCCCGGGAAACAGAGAGTGACCAAAAACAATTGAATACGTCAATCAGTCCTGATTTATGTCATATCCTAACGTACCAACTCTCGTTATTTTATCTGAAAAAATAAAAAAGTTATAGGGAGTAAGCCACTTTTGAGACTCACCCGGTATAGTGTTCGTAAATGCGTTTTTTATGTTGTCTTTTGATCATATACTTATTTTTTTATATTTACATTGTAATGTTTTCATTGGCATTGTAATTTATTTTATGTATATGTTGCATAAATTAATAAATTTGCTTTTGGTCCTCATCAACACACTGATGAAATATTGATTATTGTTTTTGTAATGTCACTGTCATAGAAAAGGCATATTACAAGTGTTTGTTGGCAGTTACACTAGCAAAATTGGTTTATATCTAATAGTTGATTTCTACCATGCTCAATTTAAGAAACAATAGCCGATGCAATTTCTGGACTTTGGTCTTGAGCCGTCTGGATACCAGATTGCTTTCAGCTTCATTTGGTATACCGATTCATATCAGTCTTACTTGCCTGATATAGTTATTTTAAATTTCTCGTTAAAGGTGTAGTTTGTGGCTGTCGAATATATCGTTATTTTCATTACATTATCTGCGTTTAGCTCCTTGATTAGCTTCCGATATTCAGCACTATATATGTCTGGCTTAAATGCTGCTAACTGTAAATTAACCTGTGCGTGACACAGGGCCGTATCTGGGGGGGTGTTTTGGAGGATTGATTTATAGTGATGTCGACCCCCCCCGAAATATGGGAGAAAATTTTAAAAGTAATAATCTTTGAGTGAGTAAGTAAGAACTCATCATAAAGTCTCAGGGAAGATGATAAATATCAGTATCTGAAAGAATTACGGAGGTGTACTTCTCCATCCCCAATATGAGGTGTTCTGGCGTTAAACGCCAACTTTTTCGACATACCTGCAATTGCCGTTGTATCTTAGCTCCAATCTAGTGAGGTGTTCGTTCAGGAGGTAGCGTCCTGTTAAAGAGCCCGTGACAAAGCGATAGTGAAGTTTGTATCCTTTATTACAAAGTTAATTTGTTCAGCTTTCAAGTGTCAAAAAGGCACGCAATGATAAGACCGAAGTTACGTTTTATAGGAAATAAATATTCAAGCAAACGTACCTTTTTAAGCGTTTTTTATTGAATTCGATAATTATTTTTCTGATATTATATGTACTTGATATGTACTATACGTCGATACTAGTTATGTACTTTTTGTCATCATTTAATACGTTTTTCGTAATTAATTAGTATGATACTACCCGATACACCATAGGCGTAGTGAAAACATATAATATCAAATAAATAAATATATACCTTCAAGCAGCAATGTTAAGTAAAATATGTGTGGGACAGCACTGTTTGGAAGAATGGTCACAGTTTTGGTCTTCAGGTGCTATTTGTCCTTGTATTCTTTAGTCATTGATGAATATACATTATACACTTCTTATCACTTTTCCACTTTGAAAGAGCAAATGTCATTTTCGATTTTATCTTATCAACATTCAAGTGAAAAATATACCTAAAACAGTAAAAATTTGACAAGGACAAGATTTTGAATATTATAAGTTGTTTTTGTATGGTTATTAACGTTGATTAACGTTTGTTGTTGTTCTGCTATTAGACAAAGGAAATCTTGGACCGATGACACTTTAGCAGGAAGAACTAGACTTGTAGCTAAAAATGGAAGCAGCTACCTTGCAGTCTACCAACCTAAAAAACGCCATCAGAAACGATAATCGTATGAGTTATAACCAGTGTATATTTCCAAATAGTATACATTTTATTAATGATCTAGCAGCAACTCTACCAGTGTAACAGCTACACCAGAAAGCGTCTTTTCAACCCCAATGCCGCAACCGCACATGCGGTATTTTCGGTGCGATCTCCGATCAGGGTTTCGCCGATTTCCTATGTGTGGATGAGGAAGTCGGAGTTCGGCGACTCGATCGGCGACGAGAACGAAACGCTCATTCTATGTTGTTGCTATCAGAACCCGCATGTGTGGATGGAAGGCGAAATCCGATCCACGAGCGTTTCGGTAGTTGACGAGCGCTTTAAGCCTATCCAATATCGACAAACGACCGAATTCACGGAGTTCGCTAAATGCCGCATGTGCGGTTGCGGCATAATACGATTGAAGAACTTTCTACATAACTCTACAGGTCAGGAGCGATTGACAGGACTTGCTCTATTAAGCGTACATAGAGAAATAAATATCGATATCGAAGAGGTAGTCAATCGTTTTTCCAGGGAAAAGACCAGTTTATCCTTTAAAATTAATAATTTTTACCTGTTACTTTTTTAAAATGTTATTTTCAATTAAGATTTGAGTGTAGCCCAAAGCGATTTTTTTATTATGCTTTTTTCCTAGCAGTTTTGTTTTCCTAGGAATTTTGGTCTAGATACGGCCCTGGCGTGACAGATCTGACTTCGCCTTGTATAAAAATGATTTATAGTGATGTCGAATGTATGGGAGAAGGGTTAATGATCTCTTTCTTGAGGTATAACTCATCATACAGTCTCAGGGATTTGATAAAAGCCAGTATCTGAGACGATTTTACGGAGGTTACTTCTCCATCCCCAATATGAGGTGTTCTGGCGTTTCCCAATTTTCCGACAGAACCTGCAATTTCCGTTGTCCAATCTAGTGAGGTGTTCGTTCAGGAGGTAGCGTCCGTTCACGTGTTCCTCGACCTCTTGCGAATCCTGCTTGCTCTGGAGGGATTTGTGGTTGAATATACGGTTTTAACCTTTCGTTAATTATATGAAGAAGAATCTTACTGGCATGTGAAATTAGCGCAATGGTACGAAAGTTGTCGCATTTGGCTGGAGATCTCTTTTTGTGGATGGTTATTATGGAACAATCGGTCAAATCTGATGGCCATTGGTGAGTATGCCATATCATATTACATAACTTGTGCAAGATGTCCACGCCAAAATCTCCCGACGCTTGGAGCATTTCGGCCGTGATGTGATCTGGTCCCGGGGCTTTATGATGTTTTAGGTTTTTTATTGCTGCTTCAATTTCCGATCCCAGTATGTCTGGTTCTTCATTAATTATATCACTGTGGAAAGAGCAACTAGGCTGAGGATCTTTTTCTTTATATACAAGATCGAAAAAGATTCGAATAGTGACCAGTTAGTTTTGGAAAGTACTGACGAAGATGAACCACCACCCAAAAGCTGCTTTTATAACGGACCACCAAGGAATAATCCGCAGTATGTTCGCCATCTCGTTCACTATTTCGTTAATTTCGGTTTTAAGTTGTCCTCGATCGTCTTCTATTGCCCATGTTTTTGGCTTGAATTCTCTTGTGAGGTACTTTATCTTTTTAAATAGGTCCCCTGGTTGATTTGTGAAAGCGTGAGATTCTATTTCCTGGCATATTTTTTCATAGTAGTTATTCTTGTCGATGGTGCAACTGTGTTTGATCTCTGTATTTATTTTTCTATATTTATCTTTTTCATCTTGTGTTTTTATACCACTTTGCACTAATGGTCGTCTTTGTTCAATTTTTAGCAATGTGCTGTCAGAAATTCAATGTTTGTTTTTTTGTCTTTTGTTTAGTTGTCGAGAAGTGGCATTACTCAGACAATTTTTAAAGTCTATCCAAATCTGTTGGGGTTGGGTGTTCTCGTTAATGTTCCACGATGTTTTCAGTAGTTCTTGTTGGAAATGTGTTACGTCGGGGATCTCCATCTGATTTAGAATTCTTGGTTTTCTTACAAATTTTTTAACTTTATACGAAATCTTTCGCTGCCAGTAACTTATGATCCGAGCCACATATTGCTCCGGGGTAAGTCCGTACTGTTCTAGACAGGGTTCTCCTATCTCCTCGAAGTTAGAGGAATATGCATCACTATCTAGTTGCGTACTCTGTCTCCTGGACTATTCCATGTAGCCATAGCCTTCCGGATATGATGTTAGAATGTTGTGTTCGCTATAGTTAGATTGTTTTCGATTGCAAAAGTCAAGTTAGCAGCGTTCACCCTGTTCATTTCTTACACCGATACCATGTTTACCAACAATAGTTTTAATATGTTCGTTATCAGTTGTATCTCCAATTTAGCATTGAAGTCGCCGATTTACTATGGTTAGCTCTTTTGTTCGGAATGTTTTGGAGAAGAACTTAGGTCATAAGTAGAAATGGTCGATCGACATCGCCCGAAGCAGCAATCGCAGCATACACCTGAACAATATTTATTAAGGTTTGGCCTGGCGTTTCACATTGTTAAAGGCCATGATTCTGTCGCTTATAGTTGGAGCTTTAAAGTCCAAAACATATTTCAGTAATGTAGTTCGACAATGACTGGCAATCACCTGTAATTTTGTTGATCGGCGCTTGAAAAGTAAACAGCGAAGTTATTAATACTAGTTTTGAAGAATCCTTGACCTATCCAATGTGTCTCCGATAATCCTGCAATATCGATTTTATATCTGGACAGTTCCTTTTCTATAATTGCTAGTTTCCCGGTATGAGTTTTAAGTCCAGGGTATTCCTCATTTGTATATATAATTTGTTGTTTGTAAGGCCAGTAGCTTCCTTATGTCCGCAAGAATCCTGACCTTTGATATTCTTGCGGCCTGTATAGCTCATTTACCACTACTTGACCGTTGTTTAAACTTAAATAACAATAATTTTACTTATCACAATTATTAACATTTCTAATTTTTTTCTTATAATTCTTTATTAATTGTAATATATTATACAGTTTTCCCGTTTTTCCCTAGGTCTGTGTTCGGACGGAAGAAGTTGAAGTAATCGAAGCAGTGCCCAGCGAAGACATAAACGACCACTCGAACAAGATCGAAAAAGATTCGAATAGTGACCAGTTAGCTTTGGAAAGTACCGACGAAGATGAACCACCACCCAAAAAGCTTGCTTATAACGGACCACCAAGGAATAATCCATTAAATCATCCACCCAGAGGTATTATCTTATTTTTTTAGAATAAGTTTTTTGAATGATTGATTTACTTATTCACAACTTACCATGTGTCAATAGGCTAAAATAAATAATCTATGTACTGATTGAAAAAGTTATTGATTATAATTAATGATGTTTTCTTTAGTGTAGAACTCTGTAACACTATTATACGAGTACATCTTTTGAAGCTGAAGGATTTTTACTGTAGTTCGTTGCACTTCTTTTCAAGACAATTATTAGAGTGTTTAGGTTACGTTTAATCGCAATGAAGAACATTATTTATATGTAATTATAGCTTAAAAATTGAATCCAATATAAATTTTATGTAAATATTATGAGAAAATTATGTGTTAAATGCATGATCAATTTGTAAATCGTTTAACACACTCTATTATTTGTCTAACAGAAATTTATGATGCACATGCAACAATGTATGGCATATATTACAGACATATTTCTTTATAAGCCTAGAATAAAAATAACAGCTAATGGTTTGAGCATACTTCGGCCTTAAACCTATTAACACTACCAATCTGAAGGAATATTACAGAGTTTGTAGGTACCCTAAATATGGTTGAATATTTTAAGAGAGATGTACTTACCGTACAACTAATTTTTAGCAAGGGGTATTCTGAAAATAAATAAAAAAATTATATACTATAAAATAAACACAAAAATATGTAGTACAGACTTTTTTTCTGTTTTTTAGGGAATGGTCCCTCATACTACTCCAACAAACCATTCAAGAACAACAAGCCCAACTACGAGAACAAGAATTCGTACAATGGGCCTCCACCTCCACCGCCCAAGCAGGCCATGGATAAGTACGGTACTGCCGGAGGTGACATCTGGCCAGCTCCTACTCCAGAAATGCCCAAAATCGTCTCGTTGGACGTCAAATGTGAGAAAAACTTGATGAAAGTCTATATAGGTATGATATTTCAACTTGATTTTAAAGCAGTTTAACAGCAGTTTTGTTTCAAATGAAAAATCGTCTACCATCTCTGATGAGTAATGTTTTCTTTGTTCTTTAGGTTTTGATAAACCATTCTACGGAATAGTCTTCAGCAAAGGTCACTACAGCAACGTTCATTGTGTCCATCTACCGGCAGGTCTGGGCAGGACATCGGCTCACTTTGAGATAGGGATTCACGCATGCGGGACATCCGGCAACACCGAGAATGGTCTTTATGGGTATGGAGCTGAAAGTGGCAGCGGTACATATTTCGAAAATATCATCGTCATTCAAGTAAGTAAAATTTTTGTCCAGAAACAGAAGAGATGATTTTGGCAGTCAACATTTAATAATTGGCGGAAAAATATAACAAAATATTTTTCAATTATGACAGTCGGATATTTTTTTGAGTTATGCGATATAGAGTGTCTCTTAAATAATTAAAATTATTTTACTGGTTGTATGTTGGAATATTGTGTTATTAGTTAGAAATATTTTCGACCCCAAGAACACGCAAATGACATTTAAAAAATATAGAGGGTGGTCGAACCGTAATCCGGAGACTTTGGCAGCATAAGGATTCTGTCTTTACTAGTGAAGACTTTTGTGAATAAACTGGCGTGGAACGAAATTCGATGGGAACTACTCGTAGAATAACGCACCACTGTTGCCACTAACGCTGAAATTGACAGAAAAGGTGTAAATTTACAGAAAAAGTGTAAATTTTGCTAAAAATATTTTTCAATGTTGCGATGGCCAGCTCTACGCTTTCGTACAAATAACTATCTACTCAACATGTTTATTTTTTGTCAATAATGACATGTATTAATTATTTCCATTCTAAGTATCTTGAGAGTTGCTCGTTGCGATTTATACCCAGAGACCATTTTTTTACGTAAAAAACGCCGTAAATGTACATTTTTTACTCAGTAGTGTTATACAGGTACGGACGAAAGTTATTACTACAAAGTCCCCTACAAATAGAGTCATATTGACATCAAAATCAAATTTCTCAATATAATATTTTTTCTCAATAATGTCAAAAAACTTCCAGACACCAATTTTCATCCAAATATTGACTTACTTCAGAAATTATTTGGAAAAAAATGGAAATAAAAATTAAACTTCTACACCCTGTATCTCAGAAACTAAGCATTTTAGGACATATATTTAATTAATACATTTTTTTTACTTAATTTTATCTGCAGAATATTTTGCGGAAGTTTCCGGAATACAGTTGGGACCACCCTGTATGGTGAAAATTTTACATTTTTCGGAAAAATTTTAATGCCTTCCTAAATTTCTTCACACTCTATTGAACCTTTGCAATGGGCCATCTTCTACGTTACTCACATTCTGCATATATTTATATGTTTATAAGTTCACAGTAATTTTAATTTGCTACGCAATAAATTACTAAAATTAATGTTAATGATATCAGTGCATGGCATTATTAATAATTCTAGAATATAACGCTGCATTAATTTTTAAACACACACATTTTACATTTGTTTTAATTTTATTTATTTATTTACATTTATTATACATATTTATTACATTATTTTATTATTTTTTAATTTTTTTATTTATAATATATTTCTCTTGGAGAAATTGAAGTTAAAATTTGAATACCCTCAGGCAAAACGACACCAAATATGTCAGTAGGTCGCCAAATCAATCCATAACTCGATAATTCAAAACGTAATCACGTACCTCGCGTGTTATATCATTAAATAAGTAATAACGTACAATTGCGAGCGTGTGGCAGTAATCAGGACCGTACATAATTTTATTACAGTACGACCGGCAAGTTCAAGAGGTGTGGGACCAGGCGAGGAAGTTGCGCTGCACCTGGCATGACCAGTACGAGAAATCTGTCACTTTTAGACCGTTCCCCGTTGACATGTTGGACGTCATCAGGACGGACTTTGCAGGAGATAACGTGGGATGCTGGATGCAAATTCAAGTTGGAAAAGGTAAACTATACGGGGTGCGTCTCAAAAGTGACTCACCCCTATAACTTTTTTATTTTTCTATTGTATTCAATTGTTTTCGGTCACTTCCTGTTTTACCGGAAATTACTACAACTTGATTTTTAAATGGCAAATATGATTTGGACATCTTTTAACAGGCCAGGACAAGACACTAAAAACTAGTAGTGGGAACTATCGAATGAATACTATCGAAACATTCGATAGTTGCAATTCATTCGAATAATTCGATAGCTAGTAAGAAAACATTCGTCGAAAACTATTGGAATAAAAATTATCGAATAGATGCGTCATCTGCCTTGAAATATTGTATTCTAGTAATTCGGCAGCAAAAACCATTCATTTATAAAATTCATTCATTTATTCAAAAAATTAAATTGTTTGAATGTCATATAATATTGGCCGTAGCTGTCGCGAGATTAAAAAATTATCATAAATCATTTTTTTTCAAATGGAAACCCACTTTTTTTATTTTACTAGTGAAAAGGTTTTCCAATTCTTTACTTTTTGATTATACATGTTCCTATACCGAAAATAAATCGTTTTTAAGTTATTTAATATTTAGTTTTAAACCGTATATTTTTCTGGTTTTTAACCAGTAGCCTATGAATTTATTATATATTTGCGATTGTCATTATATATTTTCGCGATGTATGTACATCTATAGGTATCTGGCAATTTCATATTGCCATTAAATATCACTCAAGACACAGACAAAAAGACCCTGTGAAACGAAATATATTTTTATAAATACACTCTCTAAAGTTTTAGCAGCAGTATTTATAATATACGAAATTCAAATAATTAGTTTTTTGGCAGAAGGAAATAAACTATCTAATGGTTTGACAGTTGATGTCAAAGGAAGCTAGATAAAATCAAGAAAAATTTACGCTTAAAACTAAATCTTAAATAACTTAAAAACGATTTACTTTTGGTATAGGAACTTGTATAATCAAAAAGTAAAGAATTAAAAAAAATCACTAGTGTAATAAAAAAAATGGGTTCCGATTTGAAAAAAAATAATTTATAATAATTTTTTAATCTCTCGATTCCATGACAGCTACGGTCAATAATATATGACGTTCAAACAATTTAATTTTTGAAATATATAGCCACATGTCTTCTCTTTATGTCACAGTGTTCATCATCACTAAATTTGACGTTGATGCTATACAAATTTTTTTGATAGGCAGTTTTTCCTCCAAAAATGTTAAATATTTTTATTCTCAAAAACGGTTAATGTTAGGTTTAGAGTGTTTGATATCAAAATTCATAAAGTTTTACAGGGAATTTAAAATATAATAAAAAATTGAGATACCCATTTAAAATAAGAAAATTACTATCAACTTCCGGTATTTCCGGAAGCGCCGCCATATTGAAAATATTTGTAATCGATAGATTTCATTGTGAAACAATGATGTGCGAAAAATCTTTGATTTAGATTTTGCAGTTCTTTAAAAACTTCTAATATGCACGCTCAGCCTGGGATACCGAGTAGGGATATGTACAGGGTGTCCCATTTTAGTTGAAATCATACGGTGTCTCGGTTATTAGTAAAGATAGGAGGATGCGGTTAGCACAAAGCTGTCCCACTTTTTTGTCAAACGAAAGATGCTGTAAACAAAATTTTCATAGCTCTCTTCGTTTCTGAGCTACAGGCTATTTTCGAAAATTTTGCAATTTGGGTCAGCCCCCGTATCTCTGTTATTGTGGATGATATCGAGAAGGTGAAAACTGATTTTTGTAGAACTTTTTACGTAGAATACAGTGGCATAGTCTGCTTTTCTACGGAAAAATATTTTTAAAAATATGAACTAAAGTTATGTTTTTTCAAATGGAACACCCTGTATATTTATAAATTATATGATCCGTCTTGTTATGAGCTTCTCAAAAATATATATCACTCTATATTTATTTTCACTATTTACTTCAATATTTAAAATATATCATTTTTTTATTAGTAGGCCGTGATAAATAACATAAAAATCAAAATGGTATTTAATAAAATAGTCATACATACATTAAAATTTTATTTGGGATTGATATATTTTACTTTTGAGCTGTTACCACTGAATCTCTGAATATATTTTCTTTCTTTATAACGGAATTTATTATAACGGGATGGGTTTGCAAAATCTAAATGCTTGGATTATTAAAGCATTTTCCAGGTGTGAACATTGTTGTAGTTGCCACGAAATATTTCATATTTTAAAAATCTCCAAAATCAGAAATCGAGAATGGACAAATCAGGGAATCAGGGAGGCCATCATATGGGTCCATTGGTTCCAATTCATTGATTTGAGAAATAATAATTTAACAAAATTCTAATATTTTCAAAGTTGTCAGGGAAAGCCCCATCTTGCTGAAAGTATATTTCACGTAAATTAGCTAAAGCAATATCTAAAAGTTTCGGTACGATAACTTCCAAGATTTAGAAATAGCGGTAGAGAATTAAATTTTCCTAATAGGTATATAAAAAAAAATATTAGTGACCCGTAAATTAAAACAAGAGACAGATAGCAGTATACTGTTAATAATTCTTTATTTTCTTTTATTATCAATCATGGCTTACTAATAAATATGATCTTTTAATAAAACCTTTTAAATATTGCAGTAAATAGTGAAAATAAATAGAGAGTGATATATATTTTTGAGAAGCTTATGGCAAGCCAAATCATATAATTTATAAATATACAGGGTGTTCCATTTAAGAAAACATAACTTTAGTTCATATCTTCGAAAAGATTATTTTCGTAGAATAAGAGACTACGCCACTGTATTCTCCGTAAAAAGTTCTACAATAAACAGTTTTTACCTTCTCGATACCTTTCTCAATAACAGAGATACGGGGGGTGTCCCAAATTGCAAAATTTTCATAAAGACCCTGTAGCTCAGAAACAAAGAGAACTTTGAAAATTTTGTTTACCGCATCTTTCGTTTGACAAAAAAGTGGCACAGGTTTGTGCAAAGCGCATCTTTCTATCTTCACTAATAGCGGAGATACCGTATGATTTCAACCAAAATGGGACATCCTGTACAAATATATTGATTTTAAAAATATCGATATCGATAGTTTAAGCATCATAAAATATCAATATCAATCTTTTATAAAATATAGAAATCTTCATCAATTTATACTGTAGCTATTGCTCTTTTTCACTGAGACCTTTTCAGATCTATTTTGGTCACCTTAACTTTACATTCTCCAATCATATCGTTTTCAAAAAGTCTAGTAACTTGAAGACTGAATCTCTTCCATACAGCTCTTTGATACTGCCTAATCATCCCCTAGTACTAAGAACCCTACAGTTTTTCTGTCATTGTTGGTCTGTCGTAAATTTTGGAGAGTGTTCTACTATGAATTGTTTCGTCTGTCCCTGTTCTGGTGAATTGTTCTATAATTTTATTGATTTATTGGTCACTGTTTTGTAGCAAAACTGCATAATTTTTTTTGGAATAAGAGTACTGAGATACTGAATTTTCTGTCCAATGAAAGAATACATGACAGTGGCATTAATTTGTCGTCTGACATTTTACGTCAAATGTAAATTGTTTTTCTGTTAAATTTTGGATGTCGTCTGTTGAAATCGTGTCTTTCTTTATTAGATAGAATCTTTGAATAAGAAGACTAAGGAAGGAGCATAATGGTATCCATGTATTCATGCATGGTGGGCGGAAAAGCCACCATAAAAGCTCTCTAGGGTGGGGATCCTTGACAGTTCTGTTTGACGATTCATTTGACACATTTGAATTTGATTTGAAATTTTGTGGATTTGTCAGTCTTTACGGAGCTTATTTTATGTTATTTATTATTTATTCTACTACTGATAGTTGTATAAAGGTAGTAAATCTAGATGGAAATTGTGGCAGAACTTAAATTAACAGTGACACTATCGCGATTTATCGAAAAAGACTCTAAAATAGTTGGTTGCATAGCGTGCGGTAGATCTCGGCAAAAATTGAGTGAAATAATGGAACAACTTTTCGCTAGTAAGTGACTATATAACATACATACGTGTAGTAAACGTTTATGAAATTCACTTAAATTAACTAAATTATATATTTTTCTTTGCATTTTAGCTTTTATTTATTACTTGTCAAAGATTAGATGTCAAAGAATTTAGATACGTTAATTTGACTTACCTGCTTCAGTAGCGTATCAGATGTTTGTGTTAATAAATACTTATTATAACTTATCTATTTTTTATTAGAATTATATATTTTTATAATTTTAATAACTACCAACATTTATTCACAACGTAAAATAAAACAACAAATTATTGAGTCTACCCCACGTCTACCCTACATCATAGTTTTACATTTTTTAAATAAAATTAGAACGACACTGATAAACCGGAATTTAAGTCGGCCATATTTGAGGCCCATCGCGGTGTACCTAAGATTTTTGATATGCTCCTTCCTTAGTCTTCTTATTCAAAGGATAGAATTTAGAAATGATGTATTAAGTAAAAAATTGATAATTAAAATATCGACACTTTGAATAGGGTGACAATAGACGATTAACTTGAGAAATGAAATGTTTTTAAATTATTGTAATAGAATCTGTGGTAATAGTTTGCTTGCTGGATCGCTGGTTTATGAAATAAACTCTTCTCGGGCAGTCATTGCCTTTAATTTTGATATTCGATAAAATTATGTGGGATTATTAAATGCACCCATAGGTGCGCCAACCTAAGGAAGATACTCTCTTCTCCTGACTATTCCACGTATAAAAGGAACATCAGAAATGATCAGGCAAATAAACAAACAACTACCTCAAGAATCTTCATAACAAAAAGACCCTGTAAATGCGATGAGTCGAAGGTATATTACAGATTCAAAACCCCTTCGAAGTATACAACTTAACGATCATAAAAACATACACAAGAGGTGAAATAATGAAGTCAACTATTGCACACCCTTTGATACAAAAAAAAAGTTTTATATAAAAGAACAATAACATCTTTAGGAACCATGCAAATTTCCACAATATGGCATATATCCATACTGTCATTACTCTTAAATAATCATATACTGCTTAAATACGCAATTTATAAACAGTATTAAACTAAACTGTGTTTTTTGCACAATAAGAATATATGACAATACCAAAATACGTGGAAAGTCGATACACAAGTACTAACTTTATATTTTTCTCAATAGGTCCATGGGCATCGGAAGTATCTGGTTTGGTCAAGATAGGTCAAACCATGACTATGGTGCTTGCAATAAAAGACGATGACAACAAATTTGACATGTTGGTAAGGAACTGTATGGCCCACGATGGTAAAAGAGCACCTATACAACTTGTAGATCAAAAAGGCTGTGTTACTAGACCAAAGCTTATGTCCAGGTAAAATTTATATCTAGTAAACAAATAATGGTATACAGTTTGATTAAAGATTTTAAATACAAACTTTCCTCTCTATATTTTATTAATAACGGAAATACTTTTATTTTTAGATTTACCAAAATTAAAAACTTCGGAGCTAGTGCTTCAGTACTGTCATACGCTCATTTCCAGGCTTTCAAATTTCCAGATTCCATGGAGGTACACTTCCAGTGCACCATTCAGATTTGTAGGTACCAGTGCCCCGATCAGTGTTCTGATGGGTCTAACCATATTGGGTAAGAAAATAAATGCTTTAATATACAGGGTGATGCACAGCCATGGTAGGTGAGACGTTTATGGAGAACGGGCGGATATTTTGGTTAGGCTGTAATATATCAAGCGTTCCTTTTAAAATAACAACGATGCTACTGTTTTTAAAACAATGCGGCGACCGTATAAGAATGAGAAGAATTTGTATACCGGATGCGTCTCAAAAGTGGCTCTTCCCTATAACTTTTTTATTTTTTTCAGATAAAAAAACGAGATTTGGTATGTTAGTATATGATATAAATTAGGATTGATTGACGTATTCAATTGTTTTTGGTAATTTCCTGTTTCACCAGAGATGACTACAACTTTTAATTTTTAAACGGCACCCTCGGTATTTTTTTACTTTATTCGATAGAAAATGACATTCTGAATAGAATGATATATCATGTCAACTTTTGCCATTCTCGCTTAATAAGAAATCGTATTTTAAAATTCAATCTAGAGTGCCATGAGTGTGTTAAAAACACTAATTCTTAATCATGGAGCCTTGGAAAAATAGATTTTATCGTCTAATGTTTTTAGTGTCTTCTCCTGGCCAGTTAGCATTTTTTACGAATAATTTGATACCACACACTTGCTATTTCGAGTCAAATTTTCGTTACGAACCGCAAGTTATAATTTCAAATAAACCATATGCGAAAATGTCAAAAGTTGACATATGATATGTCATTCTATTTAGAGTCTTGTTTTCTATCGAATAAAGTAAAAAATGCCGATGGTGCCCAAGGATACTATAGAGATAATAATAGTTCGATTCCTATCTTCCTGTACTGTCAGTTTTTTTACGTTTTCTAGACCGAGTTGAAGTTCGCGCTAAAGATTTTAGACAGTGACAGTGATTTTTGCGTTTGACGGACGACCGCACAGTGCGGCGGAAGATAAATCTAGCGGGACAAAACCGTTTGGTTAGAAATAAGCCAAAAATGTGTACTGATAAGATTAAATAGTAGACATTCCAATTGATATAAAAATGCATGAATTATTTTTAGGTCGTATATATTCTTTGTATTTCGATACATTTTGATCAACCAAATTTGATCGTTGCTCAGCAAGGCAGAGGTCATACGAAAACAAAATATTTAAAAGTGCTTATACATTTTATTCCAAAGCCAAATTATGTTGAATATTGTCAGAGGTATGTATTTTTCTACTGTAGGTATATTATTTGTTAAAATCCTTCGTGCCTTTATTCTGCAAATATCAAACTTTCACTTTTTTCAAATATTGATATATTGAATGATGTAGATCTTTTGAGTTACTAATAGTTATCAACACAGGTAGTCAGTCACAAGGAGTTCAAGCTTAACAGGTGAATACCCAAAAGTTTCATTTCAATCGGATAGTATAAAAACGAAACAAAGACTCGTTAAAGGGTTAATTGAAGAGCATTCAAAAGAAGAATTGGGTTTTGCAAGTACTATAAGCTTTAGGGCTAGGGGGTAATAAGAAATAAGGATGCTGCTGTAATTATTGAAGCCTTAACTCCATCGAAAGGCACTGACTTTAAAAAATTAATAGCTGGCCATACACGGAAAGGCCCGGCCTTCGGACTTGGCCTTGAGGCCGAGGCTTTCATGGGCAGCTAATGAATGACATCAATAGTCAGTTCGGCAATTTTCCTCAAGACAAAAACATCCAAATGATGTTCTAGTTAAATAAAGCATGACGATATGCTAAAGCCTTTTTTACTTTCTGATAATTTATAATAAAACTAAATGATTATTACTAGTTTTAATAAAATATTAAAAATTGTCTTAGACACTTACTATATATGAATATACAATTACCGAGTGTTAAAATTAAAATATCTTATTTACTATTTTCAAAATAAATTAGAATTTTTTAAAATAAAATATACAGGGTGTCACAAGATTACAAAGTAATTAAAAAATAACTGCTGAAGAGTTTTTTGTAAGTATTTCACCTGATATCATAATTTTATGTATTTGGCAATAGTTTACAGTACGGTTTTTATGTTTCATGTACGAATAATATCATAGTTTTATTATCTTGTATTTATTTATTTATTAATAAATTAAGTTGTTAATAAATAAATAAATTTAACCATATGGTTGCTATATATTAGACCATTTGCTACGTTCTTAGATTTTAAGTTCCAAACATCACTCCTGACGTTTTGTCCCGATAGAATAACCATCCGCCGCACTGTGGAGCGCTGGTCCCTGCGTGACGTAAGCATCCACGGTGACTACGATAGCGGCGATTTGACACGATTGAAGAGTCCTTTAGAATATATAGGTATACGGTCCGTGGAGGGTGCCCTTTAAAAATCAAAAGTCGTTTCCGGTTCAAACAGGAAGTGACCGAGAACAATTGAATACGTCAATCAATCCTAATTTATGTCATATACTAACATACCAAATCTCGGTTTTTTTAATCTAAAAGGTATTATCTACATAAATCATTGTTATTTTAAAAGGAACACTTGGTATATTATTACATTTTTGGATACTACTTTCATATCTCATAATCTTTCTGTAACTCTAATAGTTTTCGAGATAAAAAATAAATAATGTGTAGAATTAACAAAAAACCAAATTTTCTAAAAAAACTGGTTCTCCATAAATGTCTAACCTATCATCGCCGTGATATACAATCATCATTATATAATAAACATATTATTTAAAAAAATATATAGATATTTTATTATTTTTTTAATTTGATGATTTTTATAATAAATAACATACTGATCTTTTCCACTAAATTCTGTTTTAGTTACCAAAACGTACAACTCTCCCCTGACACTTCCTACGGCCCACCTCCAGGCATCCCAATCGAACACTACCTCCATTCAGCTCGACCTCGAGACGAAAGAAGGATCAGAAGATCAGTTAAACCGTCCTCCGACCCAGAAACTGAAGTTGGAGTCAACAGGATCATCAGAGTGGTCAGTACTGGAGATCTAACTTTCTCCATCGACGAGAATAGCACCAATCCAGCTCCAACCATGGTTTTCCCAGCTGGAAGCACCGAACAGCAAGCTTCTGTAGTTCCTAGTGGTTTAATCTGTATGACAACGCCAGGTTTTGCGATTACTTTGATAGTTTTATTGGGGATCATGGTGGTTTCTTGCTTGATGTCTGCATTTTTGTGCGTCAAATTGAAGCCATTTTCGCATAAGAAGATCGTCCAGGTTGTTGGGTTTCCTGGAGGAAGTAAAACAACAAGGAGGGAGGGGGATAATAAGTCAAAGAGTTGTTTCTATTCGTAGAATTTAAGGTACAAAACGTTTTAAAAGAATAAAGCAGATCATTGAATAAAAAGACTTAAGATATGAACAAACTTGACGACGTTGCAAAAGAGTTTCAATCAAATTCAAATCCCACCCAAAGTCTTTCCAGGTTTATATACATTGTATAAAATCAATTATAAAGTTAACAGGAAATCATAAATTTTAGTATTTGTCTCATAATATCATGGTCTTTCTATTCAATGCAAAATATTAGAACCTATAGATGTTAGAGACAGTACTCAAAGTTTAGGTATGTCAAAAATTTTATCTTTATTATTAATGATATTTTTAAATTTCTAAAGTAACTCAGTTTTTTTTTGTAGGTATTAAGTAATGAGAGATATAATATTGTTTGTGGAAAATATTCATTATCTTCAAAAATATTTAGTTTTAAACTTTTTTTGGTTAAATTTTTAAATATACAACCTTTTGAACTTTTTGGTTTTTGTATTATTTTGTTTGTTTATGGCATACTTAAATTTAATGTACTTTGTAACGTCAAATTAAACATAAGGTAAGATCATAAAAATAAAAAACAAAAATATTTAATAGATCTTTTGTTTACTATTTTATTCACTCTGTATAATAGTTTTAAAAATTCTTAAAATATTAATATTCTAGACAAACAGAAAATACTATTTCATTTGTGTTATTTTTTTCTTTCTTGAATTTTTGTTTTTTATTTTTCGCCTTATATATTTTATATTCATTTTATTAAGTTTTAACCTCAAATTAGTCTGTTAAAAAATAAATGAGAATTTCCTTTTATTTATTTTTTACAGGCTTTACATTAGTATTTTTAAGAAAAAAAATATATTTGTATTATGTGATAATGCATATCCAAGTACTTCCAGTTTATTTGGAATTAATTTATTTTAGCTATAAGTTTAGGCTAAGAAAATAAAAAATTGAAAAATGTGACTTAATAGCCTTCAAAAAAAATATAATAAATATTAAAAACTTAAACGTACCTGACAACTGAAAATATAATAAAGATTTACATAAAAAAACAATAAATAATATAATGCATAAAACAAAAATATTATGTTGGTTTCAAATAACTTTATTTTTAACATTTTTTTCTCTTTTATTATATTTAAAAAAAAACTTAATCTGTACATTTTGTAAATATTTTTCTACTTTATATATTAATTTTATATTTTCTATTATTATTTTATTATGAGATTTAGTTCATTCCAATATTAATTAATCTCTCTATAATTTCTCTTCATTGTACTGTAATTATTGGTAACTGGGTATTATTTCTCAAAACAAATTATTGGAGGGTGTTTTTCAAAGATAATAAGGCAATGAAATAAAAGAAATTTAAAATAAATACTCGTATTTTTATTTATTTTAAACCCTATAACTAAAAATATAATTAAAATAAATTATAATAGCCTCTTGTATCGTTAACAAAAGTACCGTATGATCGAAAAAAAACGGCGTCCTGTTGGCTTGAAACTACGCGATATTACATGTAAAATGAGAGCGATCTTCATTTCATAGCCATTGCTGACGCCGTTTTTTTTTCAATCATATTGTATATGAGCAAGTCATCAGAGATAAGAACTCAAATCCAAAACATTTTTCATATAAAATATCTGATCTTAGGTTCTTCGAGAGTAGTAAGTATATACAAGGGAGTTATTGAAAGTATAAATGCTGCAAACAAAAAAAAACTCTAGAACAAATTTATTAGAGATTTTTTTCTTAAATCCTACAAAATATAAAAATACACTTTTCAAAATAACTTTTTGTATATCCAAAAAATTGCCAGCTATAATAAAATAAATTAAATTGTGAAAAAGAAAAAACACAATTTTTGTTTCTAAAATGTTTTTGATTTTTGAGCAAAAATAGAACATTTAATATCTTTGGCTCAATTTTAACATATAGTAAATTTATAAAAAAACTTTAAGAATATATTAAAAACAAAGTGGGAGTTGTTATACTGGTTATGATAGCAAAACAAATTGTTACAATATAAATAAATATTATTTGTTCTTCCATTTTTTACTCTAAAAATATAGTTATATTGCCAAAACTATAGATGAATACTATTTCTGAATCTATTTTTTTTTTATTTTTATTGTAATTTAATGCTTTTTTTGTTTTTATTATTCCAATTTATTTAATATTTTCTTGACAGAATTTGATTATAAATTTTATTAATTTTCAATAAATATAAAACTTAATCGTGCCATGAACTCTCCTACATTTTTTAAACAAATGTCAATACTACACTATGTAGTAATAATTAATAGCGATGGTAACTATCGAATGAATTAGACTATCGAATGGTTAATGAATGAATGATTTCAACTATCGAATGGTTTTATTCGAATAAAATCATTCATTCATTTGTATACTAAAGCATATGTGACAACCTCGCCGTGCGACTAAATGGTTATCGTTGAGCCACGACTAACGAATGCTTTTGATAAATGAAATTTAGTATTCGTTTGATTTTTGTATGCGTCAGTGCATTATTAGTTCTTCCAAATTTTTATAACTTCGCCGTATAAATACTGTGCTATTTTTGCGTTTATTAAAATAGTTAAAATAAATGAAAAAAAATTTGTGTGGTTTTCCGTAGTCCGATCTTTCAATTATTTAATTTTATATGATATATGGTCTATATTTTAATGGGAAATTTTGAGAAGTAGCAATTTTTAAGAGAGATGAGATGAACTTACAATTAATTTTAAAAATACATATTTGTATTTTAGATGTTTTAATAATATGAATTAGTTGAACTTAATAATCATATTGAGTAATGTGGTTAAGTAAATGCGGTTATCGAACTCAAACTATGGGGTGAGAAAATTAAAATGAAAGTTTTACACGTGCCAATTTAAAAAAAAAGTTAACGATGTTTGTATTTTGTTTATGCTAATTCTCTTACATGTAGTTTTTGCGAAGAAATATTTCATTTGTTTTTTAAAGTAAATGCCAGTAAAAGTAAATATAATTTTTAAATAGTAATATAAAGCACCTAATATAAATAATTTTGGTTTCTAATTTTTTATTTATATTTTCCTTCCATTACACTGCATGCTTAGAAAATTAATAAATGTTTATATTTCATGATTTTAAAATTATTACTGTTATTATTATTTATTAAACCAGTCTTTGCTTAAAAACATTAAAAATAATTTTCCTACATCCAAAATAACAAGTATTATTGCAGTGTAACAACAGAATATTAATAAAAAAAATGCAGAATATATAGACATACTATCCCTAACTAACTAAAGCCAAACAATAATATTCTTTGCTAATATCAACTAATACCAAAATATGGCAACAGCGCCCTTCATAATGTATTTTCTGTTTAAATACTAGCACCTCAATAAAAAAAATAATGTGTCCTTATCTATATCTGACTCCGCAAAAAATCAAAGATGCCGGCTTCTTTCATAGCATTGCCACCGACCGCTGTCGGGTTCCTCGGAAAGAAACCTACGTCGCCGGGCGACAACTAAAATTCAGTTAATATTTTATTATAATCGATCCTGAGGAATAAATGAATTTCATAAATGAATGAATTTTATAAATGAATGGTTTTTGCTGCCGAATTACTAGAATACAATATTTCAAGGCAGATGACGGATCTATTCGATAATTTTTATTCGAATAGTTTTCAACGAATGTTTTCTTACTAACTATCGAATTATTCGAATGTATTGCAACTATCGAATGTTCCGATAGTATTCATTCGATAGTTCCCACTACTAATAATTAATAAAAAATAATAAATTTAATAAGTCCAAACAACGACAAATATAAATATACAATTTAAACATAAAACTATTATTATACTGTATGATCGAAAAAAAAAACGGCGTTAAAGACGGCTGGGGAATGATAATCGATGAAAATTTTGGCGATACCAATCTCTAGAGGTCATTTACTAAAAATTGACGTAAAAATTGTCAAGATAGAACGTTTCCAGATACACAAATCTATTTCCAAAAAATTACATTTTCCTGAATTTTAAACTAGAGCATTTAAAAATCATTTTTACTTCATATAAAAATAAATTAAAACATTCTTAAGACCAACTGGTAGTAAGCGCCATTAAAAAATAAAGAGAGTACGAGCCAAATAAATAACATCTAGGGCTTGACCTGGCCAAAATTATCATCGCCCAGCCATCTTTGACGCCGTTTTTTCGACCATTCGGTATAAATAATGTGTAAAAACTTATACCTTTTTAAATACACTTATTCTAATAAATAAATATACCATAATAATTCCACCTCATTCTTTTATTTTATAAATAATAATATAACTTATTCCTATCTAAAATTTTCAATTTTATCTTTGACTTCTATAACAATTTTTTTTAACCAACCCAGTAAAACTAAACTAACAACAACTTAACACAAACATAAAAATATAATACTAAAACAAAACTAAAATAAAGTTATTAAATATTAAATAAAACCCGAATATGTCGTAGAAGTCAAAAATAATAAAACTAAATATTATTTACAAAAAAAAATAATTAAATTATTATAAAAACTTATCTACAATAGTGTTACCTATATTGCAATATCGCCCAAATTATTTATTACAATAATATAAAACATAATAAATAATATTTTTAAAAAATGTCTGTCTTAAATATTTTCTAACCATTTAATTCTTTGTTCAAAAATTTAATATTTTAGCTTTAAATACTAATTTCAAGTAAATCAATCCCTGCTGTGAATAGTGTCATTTTCTGACAGATGTCGACTAATTGACAGCGAAGTGTCTAGAGTACTTTCACTTATAGAAGCCGATGAACTTTTCCTTCTTGTGTGCTCTGTGGGTACTACTGAAGGCCTGAGTAGTTTCAAACCAATGAAATTGGAGAATATACTCAAGGGAATTGAGGTATTTTGATGCTGCTGAGTTGCCAGATGTTCTTTTTGGAGTTGGTACCTGAAAAATGCAGAAATTGTAGTGAATGTTTATAGTGATCAGGCTACTCATCACTCCATAACATAGATAAATGAAACAAGTTTAGATTGGAAAGTGCCCATAAGGACAATGTAAACACTATTTGGCGCTATTCTTGCAACGGTCGCGACCAAAAACTTTTGAAAATTTCGGAGCGGTTCGGCTTTTTCCGGAATTATATCGCCAAATATTGTTTATTCAAATTTATTATTATTTTCGTTTAATTTTATAAATAAAATACAGTGTGTTGCATACAAGAAACTTTATTTTTATGTAAGGACGCATAAAGCAAATACCTATGAAACATTGGAAACCGACGTTATGCCACGATCCACGATGGTTTTTGCAGTTCACAGTTCTCAGCACAGCTTTTAAGTTTTTAATGCCACTTTTTCACAATTATCACTGGTTGGAGTAAATAAAACTTGAATTAAACTCACAAAATAGCAATAATTACTTTGAGAATGGACGCTATAAACACTTTTCGGAATTAAATCAATCCCTGCTGTGAATAGTGTCATTTTCTGACAGATGTCGACTAATTGACAGCGAAGTGTCTAGAGTACTTTCACTTATAGAAGCCGATGAACTTTTCCTTCTTGTGTGCTCTGTGGGTACTACTGAAGGCCTGAGTAGTTTCAAACCAATGAAATTGGAGAATATACTCAAGGGAATTGAGGTATTTTGATGCTGCTGAGTTGCCAGATGTTCTTTTTGGAGTTGGTACCTGAAAAATGCAGAAATTGTAGTGAATGTTTATAGTGATCAGGCTACTCATCGCTCCATAATTAGAGTAAAAAAATACAGTAAAATTATACAGGGTGTCAAAAAATAGTGTATCTAACTTCGGCGAGTGATTCTACAGAAAAAAAGATTCCTATGAAGATATTCTCTAAAATGCTTCCCGAAGAAATGGCCTAAAATGCTTCCCTGAAAACAGCCCTGGAAAGGGTAAATAAAAATAATATATTTCGTTTTTTGTTAAGAACACTAGTAAACCGTTTTTCTATACAGGGTGGTCCGAATTGTGTTCCGGTAACTTCGGCAGAATATTCTACAGATAAAGATAAGTAAAAAATTTCGTATAAATGTATGTCCTAAAATGCTTAGTTGCGGAGATACAGGGTGTAGAAATTTAATTTTTATTTCGATATTTTCACTTATAATATCACAAGAGCTTAAATTATTTTCGGAAATTTTTTTGAGGGCACGAATATTTTGAAAATTATCCCGAGTCGAAGACGAGGGATAATTTTCCTAAAATATTCGTGCCCGAAAGAAAATTTCCAGGAATAATTTAAGCTTGCGTGGTATTCGGTAAGAAAATTTCACACCTAAATTTGAAACAAAAAATATTAATCCAACATGACATTTTAAAATAATTTCAATTTGTTAAGTTGGCCAAGGTATTGATGTTTTTGACATATTATGTGTTTTGTCATTTTTGTTTGCAAGTCTGTCATTAAGCTATTACTAGTTTTAAAACATCTGTACGTAGAGTAAGAAGTGTATAGCGAAATGTCGCGATTTGGAAAAGTAAACCAACAAGTCATTAAAGAAGAAATTGAAAAATAAAACCAGATAACACCCGAAAATCAAAATCAAGTGTATGGAAACAGTTTGTTGAATTTTGTGATGAAAAGTCGTATAATATTCATGAGTGTATGAGTGTAGTACAGCTGGCTACTATACTGGAGGACTACGCATTTAATATGAAAAAGAAAAATTTTGAAGATTATAAGGAAAGTGTGGTCAAAGTGATGTGGAACTCTACTGCTAAGCAGTTGCAAGAAATTTATTACGAAAAATATAAAATAAAATTTAATCCGTTTTCTGATGTGGAATTTGTGACCGCCAGAGCTGCACGCGATGCTAAGCGCAAAATACTACAGAGAGATTCAGCAAAAAGAAAAGTGAGTGCTTCAGCCTTAACCAGTGACGAATACAAAAAAATTATTGAAATGTGGGATGAAAATACTCCAGATGGGTTGCAGCGTAAATTTTTTCACATAGTTTCACATGAGCTGGCATGGAGAGGAGGGGAAGGACATTCTGCTTGTATCCAATACTTCAAAGAAGAAACTGATAATTTCGGAAACCCAAAAGGTCGGATAGAATATAATCCAATTTTCTCTAAAACCACACAAGGTGGTTCTAAAAAACTGTCGGATAGTAAATGGTTGATTAGAAATTTCGAAAATCCACAAATGTGTCCGGTTCGCTTGTTTAGAAAGTTGATGGAAAAAAGGGGAAATCTTATTCAAACCGACAGACTATTCTTAACACCAAACCCATACTGGAATCAACCCAATTCGAAAGGATGGTACAAGAATAGCCCAGTTGGTAAGAACATTGTATCTTCATGGTTTAAATCAGCAGCTTCAGATATAGGAATTGACACTAAAAAAGTTAAAATAACCAATCATTCTGCAAGAGCAACAGCTGTTTCGAATTTGGCCAAGAAAGGAGTTGGTGAACAACAGCTCATTAAAATTACTGGACATAGTAATAGTCAGTCGATCAAACCTTACTTACAGTTGGACGCTGAACATCATCAACAGATGATTGAATCCATGAGGAGCATTTCATCAAGTACTAGCCAGTTCAATCATGATCAGAGCACAATGCAAAATAAAACAGAAAATACCCAGATTCAAACCACCAATTCAAGCCAGCCTACAAACATTTACAATAATTGTGTTTTTAATATTAATAAAACCTATAATTACTAAATGTGTTTCGTTATTATTTTGCTATATTAGTCGATATCATTAAAGATTTGGCATTGAAGATAATTCAACATGAAATAAATTCTAAAAAAATCATATAGATATATCCATCATATTTCGTTAAATAGAAAAATACCAGCTTTAGTTAAATAAAGGCGGCAGAACTATATTTTTTAGAACATGGCAATTTCGAAGAAATTCATATGTAGGTATATCTAACATATTTCCTTAAATAAAAAATATTACCAACCTTAGTTACATCAAATGCTAAAACTCAAATGGGTAATATTTCAATATATAGACATTGTAGTTATTCACATTATGATTGTAGATCTTATGTTTACCTTTTCAACTGTCAAAAAATTTCCACTAAAGTTTCGTGGCGCCTCGAAAAAATTTCCGGAAATTTTTTCAGTTGCCATGGTAACTAGTCAACATTAAAGCATGTTATTGGTTGAAAAGTAGAGGTGTGAAATTTTCCAAATAATTTCGGAAGTAACGTCATTATTTGGATGAAAATTGGTGTCTGGGAGTTTTTTGACATGATATTTTAGGTATATTTTTGCACTCAGTAGTTTTATACGGGTATAGACAAAAAGTTACTCTTCAAAACAGTTAAAACACATGTAGGTGGCGCCCCCTATAAACCGGAGTCATATTAACATCAAAATCAAATTTCTCATGTCAAAAAACTCCCACACACTCTTATCCTGTATACAGGGTGTTTCAAAAAACATGTGCCATCTCTCATAGAGAGATTCCTAATGTAAAAATAAGATTTATTTTTCATATCAACATAGGTCCGATTCTGCTTTGTTTCGTAGCTACAGGGTGTTAAAATCTAAATAATTTTTCGATTTATTACAATTTTCTTCCAAGTACTTTTAATGACTCGAATGAAATTTTGAGAGTAAGAATTGCTATAAGTGCTACATATTTTAATGCTATCAAAGTGTCGATAAATTCATCAGGGACGTGAATATGGGTTATCACTGAAGTATTTTTCAAAAAAAAACATGTGCGCCACTGATTTTTTTCTTTTGATATTAGAATTACATTGGCCGTTTAAAACCAGTTAAAAGTTATCTCTTGATATTTTGTCGAATTCGGCCTCCTTGATGAAATACACACACACACGCAATTTTATTAACCACAATTAATAAGATTAAAATAAAAATAAAATTAGTAAATTATATATTTTACCGAATCTATTATTAAATATTATTACTATTAGTCCAACTTACAGCAATTTCAAATAAAAAAATAATGGTATTTAAGATAATTACAAAAAAAATTAATTTTAAAAAGTTTTTACATCCTGTTACTCTAAAACTATCCATTTGCATACCCATGTTTATAAGAACTTTTTTTCATATTTTTTGATGAGGAAACAATGAGTACTTATTTAAAACTTTCGCAATGATATTAATTTTTTTAAAGGTTGCTATTCTTAGACCAATGCAAATTAATAAAATTGCATTTATCCTATCAAGGAGAACGAAATCGACAAGATATCAAGAGACAACTTTTAATCGGCATTAAACTCCTTACACTATTTAGCCAACAAAAGAAAAAAAGTCAGTGGCGTACATGCTTTTTGGAGAAAAATGTCTTAGATTAACAATAAAAAAAATATTCCAGTGATAACCCATATGCACGTCCCTGGTGAATATTTCTACACTTCTTTAGCTTTAAAATATATCGCATTTATAGTAACTTTTACCCTCAAAATTTCATTCAAAACGCTAAAAGTACTTGGAAGAAAATTATAATAAATCGAAAAAATAATAAGATTTTAACACTCTGTAACTACGAAACAAAGCAGAATCGGACCTATGTTGATATGAAAAATAAATCTTATTTTTACATGAAGAATCTCTTCAAGAGAGATGGCACATGTTTATTGAAACACCCTGTACTATGTTCACTAAATCTATAGTTGCGGATGTTTCCGAATGACTTGTATGATGCATGATAACTGTTTCTTCATTATAGTTTGAACAAAAGTATACTGATAGATATTTTTAATAAGACTTTACAAAATAATGACTATCCAATCTTATCGTACCTGGAACATCGTATCTTTTTGAATATATTAGACAATAGTATTCAAAAAAAACCACTATGTTTTACTAGTATGCATAAGAAAAACCATAAAAACTAAGTCAAACAAAAATTAATTATTCAAAAAAAAACAATGAATTAACGGAAGACGGTATATGAAAATGGCACACTTCAAAGCTTTTAATATCAACTTCCGGTATATTACCGAGATACACTGTTGTATACATTAGCTATGGAAATATTTAAATAAAATTAATCATCTTTAAGACGAATCCGTTAAACAAACTCTTTAAATTAATGATGAATGGTTTCTAAAATGATATTTGCCTAGTGCTAAGTATCTTTGCGGTGTGCTTTAAGTAATTTAATTCAGGAAAAATGATGTGGAAATAAAGAGTTTTTTAATATATTTGTATTTAATTTAAAATACATTATAGAAAATTAATATACAGGGTAATCTTTCGGGCATCCAAAATTATCATTAAGGGTCTATTACACTTTACTTTCTCCCCCAATATCAACAAAAATAATAGCGGACCATACTTCGGCAGCTGGTTCCTCGGAGGTGGACTGTTTTAGTGGATAACAATTCCGAGTCCCACACTGTCTAGGGGTGTATTATTTCTATGACCGTCTCTCTTGAGATGGTGATGGAAATGATCACTATTCGTCTCTAAACGATTTTTAACCAACCAAACCAAAAACCTAATCTAACCATCCTAACCAAAAAAAAAAAAAATACGCTGTACTGTTCTGGACGCTCTCAGGGGTCGGTTAAAGCAGGTGTGTGGCCCAAGGAAATGTATATTATATTTGAGAAATCTGCCTAAAGCTGCGTATAAATATGTCGAGACGAGTGCGAGAGACGCCCGAGACGAGCAAGCGGATTTGAGGTTGACTCGTCATATTTGTACGAGGTCTGAGCTTCGAGCCGAGCCTATGCCCAGCCGGACGGCGTTGTCTCCGTTTTTTCCGGAGCCTTTGGCGAACCATCAAAAGGATTGGGGCGTCTATTTAATCAGTGGCGTATAAGTGGCTCGGATTCCACATCCCATTTTTATATAAAAATAAATATTATTTCCTTTATTTTTAATAATGTTAATTATACATCCTAACAAGAAAGATGCAATTTTATCTTCTCTAAAATAGTATAGGTAAGTTGGCCAATAAATCTCATATACAAAGATTTATTAGTGATTTCTTTTATAAAAACATGAAAATTTTATGAAAAATTAATAAACGTAATAAACTTTTCGGCGAGTTATCAACGGCTCAAACGTAAAATATGCGCTATTTCTGCTTTAAACAGGAATTAAAGATGTAAAACAAGCTTTTTTATACATAGGATACATAGGAGATAAAAGAGGCAAATCGAGTGTGTTAAAAAAGGTGGCCATGCTAACAGATGTTCCTTACGGTACTATCGTAAATAAAGAGAATCGACAAAGAAAGGAACGATCCGATATAGAAAAATCCAGAAATTTGAACTATCCAGACTACTAAGAAACTTAATTTATGGCAAATATGAAAATAATAAAGCTCCCGCCATAGAAATAATTAAAAAAAAACTCTCCGAGCTTAAAAAAAACTTGTTCAGAAAGCACATTACGGCGAAGGTTTAAAAAACTGGGAATTAGATTTAAAATTATATACATATTAATAATTTAAAAATTATGAATAAGCGTGCTGCAATTATGGAAAGCCATAGAATAATAATGTGGCGAATTGAATACCTTGAAAAAATATACAACTTTAGAAATGAAGAAATGCAGATATATTATTTACAATATATGTTCCAGGTTAGTTATTGGCATTTAAATGTAGATTTTTAAATTAATAATTTAAATCTTAATTACTTAAATTTCTAATTTTTTAAATAAATAAAGTCGAATTAGGTCTTATCTTACAGCGCTTTCAGATGGAACGGAGCGTCCGCGACGGACCGTCCGCAACTTCGAGCAAGTACCATGAGCTTATATGAACAATTTCACATGGGTCGCGTATGCTCCGTCCGGAAGAGCTATCTTGAAAAAACATCCGTGCGGACGCTCTGCGCGTACGGTCCGCTTCATCTGAAAGCGCTGTTACTCTATTTAAAAATTTTATAGATATACAAACCACATACAGAATATATTATTGAATATAATAATTAAAGATTCAAAAAAAAACGGCACTGGCAGAAGGCTCCGCCGCCGCCGGCGCCGCTCCACGTATCTCAGTCGGCGTTCTCCAGTTTTTTTTTAATGTAAACAGTCCGAATATAATTTAAATTTATCATGAATTCCTTTAATTTATCTAGCTTGTTTTTTTTACCTATTTTGAAATTAAACAAACATATACAGGGTGTTTCAAAAAACATGGTCCATCTCTCGTGGGGAAGTTCCTCACGTAAAAATAAGATTTATTTTTTATATCAACCAATCCAATTCTGCTTTGATTCGTAACTACAGGGGGTTAAACAATGCTTTAAAGAATTGTTAAGCTGTGTCTTTTATGTAATTTTATGTTTACTTACTGTTAGTTTATGTCTTGAAAAAAAGTTTTGTTGACAATGGTTTGCTTTAGTTTAATAAGTTTTGAGTATAAATATTTTTGTTTGTTTTAAATATTTATCGCATACCGTTTATATAACTTTTTGGTAAATTTTCGACATTTGAGCGACGTTTCAAAAATGTTTCGCCTTTGCCTCTTTTTATCCTCTCGCCCCTATTTTTTATTTTCAAAGTTGCCAACCCTGGGTTAAGTGTTAGTTTTTTTCCATTTATTATAATTTTCTTCCAAGTTCTTTTAGTAATTTGAGATCGTTTGATGACTGATTTAGTTCTGATCCTGGTCGTTTTTTGTATAAAACAGTGCCACCATCGTCGATTTTTTTCGTTAAATGCGAATAAGAAAATATCCTGATTATATCCTGGCCTTATCCCTTATTATTTTTATTTACAAGCGATCTTAAATTTATAACATATACATATATTTTATTTAATTGTTAACATTAGGGTAGTTTTACCAATTGTATATGTGTGGAATTCCACTGATATGTGTTTTAAGTTGTTTGTCAAATTTTTAAAAAATGTTTGATTGTATTTTGCTCTCTTAACTTTGTAGTGTCCTGAAGAGAGCAAATAGATTTTGCGAAACGTCGACAAATTTAAAACAAAGGACTTCTGTTGATTTTTTTTTCGGTCCTAATCCAATTAAAAAAACACAGTATACTTAAATTTATTAATTAATTTTTTAAAATATTGAATGGTATCGAATAATACTTTAATATATTTATCAATATTTTAAAGTATCGATACTTTATGTTCAATACAACCGATACCAAAATATCGATACTGCCTCAGTATCGCCTAGCCCTATGAAGAAATTTTGATGGTTCGCCAAAAGCTCCACAGAAAATGGATAGCCGCGAGACAACGCCGTTCGACTGGGCAGGGACTCTGCTCGAGGCTAAATCGCTCGGCTCGAGGCTAAATCGCTCGGCTCGAGGCTATAATATGACGAATTCCGCTTGAGGTTGACTCGTCTCGTCCTCGTCTCGGCATATTAGTACGCCTTTTGGAAAGAATTCGCTATAGCCTCGTTTCATACCCGTTTCGGGTTTGTCTCGTATTTGCCTCTGCATATTTATACGCGGCTTAAGGCTTAGCCTGATCCTGTCCCGAACAGTACAGCGTTTTTTTTTGGTTAGTTTAGGTATTTGGTTTGGTCGGTTAAAAATCTTTTAGAGGCGAATTTCGAAATGAAAAATAATACAAGACCTTTTTTGAAGATGGTCTAATTTCCTATAAGAATATGATTAATGTTTCAACAACACGCTGATTTGTTAGAAATAAATAAATTTAAAAAAAAAATGGTTTGCCGTATTATTTAAATGGTAAATAAAAAATCACGACGAGACACCTCTTAATATTAATATTAAAAGCTCAAATTTACCAGAATTTTTTTTATCACCGTGAACGATATTTTCACAGTAACTAAATTATTTTTTTTATACACCCTACTGTATCCTATTGTTATGTTAAAAGATATGATACTAAACGAGTCAATTTTTCAATAAAGAAAAATTTGAGAATTAAACTAATTTATCTCTATTTTATTTACCTGTACAGTAATGTCCCGGCTATTAGTGCTGACACTACAGCGGACACAGCCACCAAAACAAAAAGGACACTAAATCCAGGCACTGGCATACAAATTCCATACACTACTTCCTCTCTAATTCGCCCCTAAAATTGAGTATAAATCATTAATTAATATCTACTAAAACTGTCAACATCAAAAAAATATACCTATTATTAGAACTTTAAACTAAAAGAAATATACAGGGTGGTTCGAACTGTATTCCGGAAACTTCGGCAGCATATTCTGTAGATAAAAATAGGTAAAAACGTTTGTATTAATGTATGTCCGAAAATGCTTAGTTTCGGAGATACAGGGTGTAGAAGTTTCATTTTTAATTCAATTTTTTCCAAATAACTTTAACTGAAGTAACGTCAATGTTTGGATGAAAATTGATGTCTGGGAGTTTTTTGACTTGAGAAATTTGATTTTAATGTCAATATGACTCCTATCTGTAGGGGGCGCCACCTACACGTGTTTTAGCTGTTTTGAAGAGTAATAACTTTCTTGTCAGTACCTGTATAAAACTACTGAGTGAAAAAATATACATTTCCGTGACTTTTTACGTAAAAAATGTCTCTTGGTAAAAATCTCTACGAGCAACCTCAAGATATTTAGAATGGAAATAGTCAATACATGTCATTATTGACAAAAAATTAAAATGTTGAGTAGATAGTTATTTGACTAAAATGATGGAAAACTTTTTATTTTTTTAAATTAATCATAAATTTTTCTTCGAAAAAATGATAAAACAGTTTCTGTTGAACTTTTGGTACCTACAAAAACATTTCAAATTTATGATTTCAGTCTAATAACTATTTAATCAACATGTTTAATTTATGTCAATACTGACAAATATTGATAATGTCGATTCCAAATATGTAGAGAACCATTACTCGTAGCCTTTTTTTTACCAAGAGACCTTTTAACATAAAAACGTCGTAAATGTATATTTTTTTACTAAGTAGTTTTATACAAGTATGGACGAAAAGTTATTACTTTTCAAACCAGTTAAAAATATGTAGGTGGCGCTCTCTACAAGTAGAAGTCATATTGACATTAAAATAAAAGTTCTCATGTCAAAAAACTCCTAGACATCAATTTTCATCCAAATATTGACGTTACTTCAGAAATTATTTGGAAAAAATCGAAACAAAATTGAAACTTCTACACCCTATTATAACTCCGAAACTAAGCATTTTAGGACATATATTTATACGAACTTTTTTAATTATTTTTATCTGCAGAATATGCTACCGAAATTTCCGGAATACAGTTCGGACCACCCTGTATAATTTGGAGATATAGTAGTATTTCTTTAATTTTTTTTTAGTTTTATTTTTTTTATTAGGAGTAAAAATTACACTTTTCGTGGCTAGGCTGTACGTTTGAGGGTGCAGCCACACTATCCTAAAAACGGCGTATCGGCGTAACGGCGTAACGACCTTAAATCGATTTCCAGTAATTCTATTGGCTGAAATTTTTGACAGATGAATTTGACAGATAAAATTTCTGACAGATGAATGTTTCAGCCAATAGAATTACTGGAAATCTATTCAAGGTCATTACGCCGTTATGCCGATACGCCGTTTTTAGGATAGTGTGGCTGCACCCTGACATACAGCCGAGGCACAAGAAGTCATTTTTACTCCGAATAGAACATGCTATTGTTTTTCAAACGGCACAAATAAGTTTATAAACAATTTCAAACGTTCCAAATCATACCTTGCATGTAATTATATATCGAGGAACTATGGTTACGCTCGTTGAATTTGCCACTTTATGTCAGTTTAATAATATATTTTCGTACTTTTATGCTTAGGCGTAAAAGTGCTTTACTTTTATGCCTAGGCATTAAAATGACTTTTTTATATTGTCAATTACGTCGCAAAAATTAATACTTTTGTGACGTTTGAAAAAAAAATACATTATAATAAAACATTATGAATATAAATTGTTTTCATTTGAAACGTAACTATTAATTTAATTGCGTTTCATCTGAAACACTCAGAAAAACGAACATTTATATTTCTCTGTTTATAACAATATCTTTCTTTAGTGTGATTAGTTTTGAACAACACTATTAAACAGTATGCGTTTCCAGGCAGAAGACATAAATAATTTACGACTTTTTCATTTTGATGATTTTTTAATGTGTGGAAAATTTAGTTTTATGATGGTGTGAATATTATACCAAAACACACTCGTAATAGATAATAACATTTCCAGATAGAAAATTTAATGGCCAATCTATGCGAATAAATTATTATAAAATAATTTAAAACTTAATGAGCTGTAAGTAAAAATAATCCTAAATCGCTTCCACATAAAACGTAAATTTCCTTATCAAGTAAAAAACTTAATAGTTTGGTTTGGATGTAAAAACGTTATAACTAAACGGTTGTAGATAAAAATATTTATAACAGCCTCTATACTATCCCCGAAATATTTTACGAAATATTTCGTAAAACATTTCGCAAAACATTTCTGGAAATACTTTAAATTGAAATAAAAGCCCGTGTTATAAAAATTAGTTCCCACGTTTCCTGAAATAGTTCAGGACGCGCCGTGATTGGTTGTTAGGTGGTGACTTCAGAAAAATAAGTAATCATAGAGTATGAATAAATATCATTAATTTGTAATGGAGAGTAATGTAATACCACTATATTAAATTGATATGAAAAATAAAAAAACAGTGCATTTAAAAAACAGTTACCAATGGTAGATTAAATAGGCTATTCCTCTAAGGTTACACAAGAATATTTAGTTTTAATCATTGTCTAACATTACTAATTATAATATAGTAAAAATATATATTTCCAAATTTTAAAATCGTAAAACTGCATGGCAATACGCAGTGACTAACTGTTCTGGCGGATCCTTTTATAGGTTATAATCCACGGTGTTAAACTACACACACCGTAAAAGTCTAGGGCTATTACAATTTTATCCAGCCAGTGTCGGTAATTTTATTATTTGCATTTCTGATATAATAAAATTAAAATAAACAAATAGTTTACAGGACGTATTGGAAATAAAAATGCGAAATTTACCGAATTTCTCAAATTTACCTTGATTTTTATTGAACTCAAAAAAATACACACATTTTTTTTAATTCTAAACTGTGAATAAAAAAAAAGATAAAACCATTTTTACTTAATAAAGAGTATGGCCTCCTCTACTGTTCATTACAGCCTTACATCGTCTCTCCATGCTCCTGATCAGGTTGTCGATCTCTTCTTGAAGTACAGCCTGCCACGCTGCATTCACGGCCCGAACCAGATCCCTACGAGTTTCACGAGGCATACCCATTCTCAAAATTCTTCTTTGGACCGCGTCCCATACGTGCTCGATGGGGTTGAGGTCAGGAGATTGTGCCGGCCAGGGTAAGATGTTTAATTGATGAGCATTGATAAACACATTTACCACTCTGGCTGTATGAGGCCGTGCATTGTCATGCATGAGAATGAAGTTTCTCCCAAAATCATTGGCATATGGTAACACGACAGGCTCTAGAATTAAATCACGATATGTGGTTCCTGTTAGAAACCTTTCAAGAAAAACGAGATCGGTTTTTCGGCCTAACTGGACTCCTCCCCAGACCATAACTGTTCCACCTTGATAAGGTTGTACTTCCTGAACATGATCCAACCGAATAAGATTTCCCGGTTCTCTCCATACCCTAAGCCTTCTCGAATCCGGATGAATTCCAAAGCGTGACTCATCCGTGAAGAGAACATTGGCCCATTGTTCATTCGACCACTGAACATGATCTTGAGCCCACAAATACGTACCTCTCGATTTCCTCTCGTCAAGGGTTGAGCTCTCCAGGGGCGTCTGCTTCTTAAGTTGACCTCTCTTAATCTATTGCGAACAGTGTCAGGACTAACGGTTACATTATGTGTTTCCTGGAGAATTAAATTAAGCTCTGGTGCTGTAAGAGTCGGTCGGCGTCGAGCATTTAATTGTAAAAAATGATCTTGCTGAGGGGTAGTAATGCGATGTCGCCTTGTGTGCCTTTCAGCAACATCACCACTTTCACGTGCACTTAATCGCGATATTACACTCTGCGTTGTATTTAATGCTCTAGCTACGTCGATTTGGCGCATTCCAGCTTCAAGCATAACCATGGCCCTCAGCATTTCGTCTCTGTTAAGATGTCTACGCTCCATAATGTCGTTTAATACCAAACAGAGTTATTTGAATGAATTCTGGCCAGTTATCATAAAAACATAGCCAGTACAGGTTAAATTCGAACAATTGATGCTAGGTGCTTTTTATTCATTTGACAAAAAATGCACAAAACACTGCAAATATCCCAAATTTAGAAATAACTAGTGTGACTACTTCGTTTCAATCGAAGTAGAAAGAATCGGCCTACAAATATGTGGTTGTTTATTCAAAACGTTTATTTTTAACTTTAATAAAATTATATCCCTAGATTTTTCCGGTGTGTGTATTTAAAAAATCATCTAATTATTTTATATCAAACCATGTTATTATTATATATAAAAGTATCTTTTATTGTATAAATAATTTTTAATGTAATGATTTTCCCAATCAGCTCTATATATTGATGATGTCAGTATTCCTCATCAAGCAATACTACTTTTATATTAATAAGAGTAATATTTATTTATATTTATAGTAATAAGAGTAAAAAGTTTTGTTCTTAAATATCTACTCTACATATTATTAAAAGCGTGTTAAAATATTAATCTTGTGGAATATATATCAATATAAAACGAGATGTAATTAACAAAATATCATCGTAACAACAGTTATTTTAGAAACGTCTAGCTTTACTTATTTCACTGAGATTTATGAAAAAAAAAGTCCTTTGCCTCGGGTACAGATACCGCCACGTTTTAGAAATAGCTCAAAACGAAACAAAATTGAACGAGGCAACAGGAAATGCCAAAAAATCCCCCCACGCCCTCCTCACGAGTAGTTTTCAGGCGGTTTTAAGAATCGAAAGTAGGCCGAGGTAAATCGAAGCGGATCAAGACAACTGGAAATAAACCAAAATGCGATAAAGTTCCTCTCCGCATAATGTAGAGGCTGTTTATATTAGTTATAAGACACCCTATATGTACATTTAATATTAATTTATGATAAATTATATTACTTCTAAATGTCTTACCTGGAAAACTGTAACAGATTCTGGCCTGCTATCTGGACTAAAGGCCAGATCCGCCTCAGAGATAACTTCGTAAATTCCGCTCACGCCTACGTCAGCACTCCTGACCTTTCTGTCAGAAATAATCATCGATCTGCGTTTCCTAGTGCTTTTCAATGACTGAAAATTAGAAAAAAAATAAGCATTAAATTACTTATACGTAGAACGTGCCTCTAGCAAAAATATATTAGAAAAGTTCTCAAGACTTGTCAAACTGTTACAGCAAGTTGCAGAGCTACAAATTTTTCAGCGATTCCAATAGCAACATTCAAAATACTTCTTCATATGCATATTTTTGAGAAAAATCCAATTTTCTTATTGGTCACAACAGATGAACCTTTAACAGGACATTTTTAACTTTATAACGGACACATTAACTTGAAAATAATTTCAAGCGATTATTGGTTGGCCGACTTACTTTTTCCCCAGAGTTATAGGATAAGTACCGTATGATCGAAAAAAACGGCGTCCAGTTGGCTGAGAAATGACGATCGATGACATTTCCCACATAAATGTACATATAAAATGACGGCAATCTTCATTTCATAGCCATCGCTGACGCCTTTTTTCGATCATATACAAAAATTACTCTTATTACGCAAAACAATGGGCGCGTTCAGGGACGGTCAGCGGCTGAGTGGCTGAGTAAGCGATTTCCCTAAACGGTCTATTCTGACGAACAGCAACAGTCAGCCGCTGTGCAAAATTCTCAGCGGTAATTATTTAGGCTGAGACAAGTCAGCCTTAATCTATTTCCTTATCTGTGGTCAATTAATGTAAAATAACTTTAATTTTCTCAGTTTATTGTTTACTTTTTATGGTTCGTTGTTTTTTAAGTTTATAGTTAATCGTAGTTAATCGAATCCTTAAAAAATAGGAGATATTTGTTGTCAAAAAAGTTACAGAGCAGTAGGTTAATCTAAAACGTTCGAAAAAGACAATAATTGTAAATAGAGATCGAAGAAGTTAAAGAAATAAAGAAAATTCAACTTGATTTCCATCTCAAGTCGAGTTTTTTAAATACAATGAAATTAAAAAATACTACTCTGAAAAAATCTAAATCAGGATAAATAACTTTTGATTGTAATTATACCGTCTGATCGAAAAAAAAATGCCCCCAATTGGCTTAGAAATGACGATCGATAATATTCCCTATACAGGGTTGTTCACCACATACGACACGGAGTATAGTAGCTAAACGATTAGATTTTTACAAATTGTAAGTTTTGGGTTCGTTGAAGGACTATTAGAGCTACAATTTAAAAATATTTTTACAAGATACAGAGTGTCCCAAATAAATAAAAAATATCAAAGTTGTATTTTTTTAAATAGAACACCCTGTCTATTATTACATTTTTAGTTTCTACGATTAAAATAAAGGTAAATTTGATAAAGGTTTATTATACTTAAACCTTACCGTTTTTGAAATATTTTCAATTTTGTGAAATTACAGTCAAAATTTTAAGGCTTCATTTCTCCAAGGGAATCAAAGTTTTTAATACTAAATATTTACTGAAATGTATTTATCGATCAGTTATTGCGTTGCAATAATAAAAATTATACTACCTTATACAGAGTGTCTAAAATTTTATTTTAAATAATTACTAGCTTTAAACGGCAATAACTTGTTTAATTTAAATGGAACACCCTATATATTTTATGAGAATCAGATGCACAATTTAATTGTCTATCAAATTGTATTATACCATTTTTTACCTATCGCTTCAAGTTTCCGTAGAAAATGAATTTTCTTAATAAGTAATTTTAAATTCATTTATCAATATACCCATGGAATACTGACATTTTAGATTATTTTTAAAGATTTACCAAATTTTTAAAGAGTACATATACTAATATTGTCGATATAGTTTGTTTATTTCATTAAAAAATAAAAAAAATTGTTTAAATATTATTTGTTAAAGAGGACCAATTAATATGATTCCAGTATTCAAACTACATTAATTGACTGTTTGCGTTGATTAATAATAATTGCTCCAAATACTAAATAAAAAGCTGAATTTTTTATGTGTATTAGACAGTGTGGTAAAAAGTAACACCTTAAAAATGATATTTCATTTTTTGACAAATGCTTATTTGTAACAACAGAGACATTCATTTTTATAACTTATTATTATATTGATTTCTGATTCAAATCCAAATTTATTTAGATGAATATGAAGCCGCATAAAATTTTTTACTGCAAATTCACAAAATGTGAAAATATTTAAAAACGGTAAGGTTTAAGTGTAATAAACCTTAATCAAACTTACAGTTTGTTTTAATCGTAGAAACTAAAAATGTAATAATATACAGAATGTTCCATTTAAAAAAAAACTTTGATATTTTTGATTTATTGGGACACACTGTAACCTTGTAAAATATTTTCAAATTGTAAGCTCTAATAGTCCCTTCGAAGGCAAAACTTACAATTTGTAAAAATCTAATCGTTTAGCTACAATACTCCGTGTCGTATTTGGTGAACAACCCTGTATAAGTTTACTTATAAAATAACAGCAATCTTTACCTCCACATTCCACCCCTGACGTCGTTTTTTTTATTGTAGGGTATACAGCTTCAGTATTTTCATTTGTACCATACCATCAAAAAAAATGCGTAAAAGGTGCCAGTTCCTGTTATTTTAAGTTGTTTAGGTGTATTGGTAAAATTATTTATAAACTGTTATTTCTTAGAAATTTAATGTTTATACTGTATTGTCAAATAATATATTTTCATTTATTAAATGATCAGCCAGTAATAATTTTTTTTTCATATTTCTCTCAAATTTTTATAGTAGACAGAGAGCGCATGAGACAGATACTCTTTCTTGTTCTTTCTGCTGCTTTGTGCCGTTTAGGGAATAGCGAAATTCTACGCTGAACGTCAGCGGCTGTGTTCCCTGAACGCGCCCAATATTTTTTTTTAATATACCGGGTGCGTCTCAAAAGTGACTCACCCCTATAACTTTTATATTTTTCAGATACCAAAAACGACATTTAATGACGATTTAAATTGTTTTTGGTCACTATCTCTTTCAGCGGAAATGACTACAACTTTTGATTTTTAAACGGCACCATCGGTATTTTTTACTTTATTCGATAGAAAATGACACTCTGAATAGAATGACATATCATATGTCAACTTTTGACATATTCGCTTTAAAAAATTGTATTTAAAATTTCAAACTAGAGTGCCATGGCTGTGTTAAAAACATTTAAATATAGTTTCAAAAAAATAATTAAAAAATTTTAATCAGGGAGCCTTGGAAAAATAGTTATCTAATGTTTTTCGTGTCTTGTCCTGGCCGCTTAAAAGATGCCCAAATCGTATTTTTAAACATATTTCAATTTTTTATCAAATGGAACGAGAGTATCTCATTAGCATATTTGGAAAAAGCATATTCAAATAACCCATATGAGAAAATGTCGAAAGTTGACATATGATAGGTAATTCTATTCAAAGTGTCATTTTCTATGGAATTAAGTAAGAAAATATGGTAAAATCTCGGTGAAACAGAAAGTGACAGAAAACAACTAAATACGTCAATCAAGCCTAATTAATGTCATATACTAACATACCAAATCTCGTTTTTTTTATCTTAAAAAATATAAAAGTTATTGGGGTGAGTCATTTTTGAGATGCACCCTATATATCACTTACCAGTGGTAATCCCGTATTGTTTGAAGAAGATTTGGTACTATTCGTATCGTTGGATTTACTATCGACAATCTCTTTGGATTTACTGGCAGTCTCCTTCGTTGGTTTTTCACCATTAGATAAATCTTCCGGTGGATATTTCAAAGTTCTAGGTCCATGTGGGAATTGGCTCATTATAAGCATATCCTGAAAAAATACAAAATCACATCATGTCAAAAAATCTTTTTACTTGTTACATTACTTTTCAGAAGCAAATTAGCATTATGGTAATGAATTATTTGAATGATTTTTTCTCAGAATATTCTTAATAATTTTTCATTCTTCCGAAGTCTATATCTATGTATTATTAAATAATAAGATACAAGTCTCTAACAAAACCAAAAAGTTTTGAGAAGAACAAATAACAGTAGGTACCATATGACCAAAAAAAATGGGGACGATTTTGAAATGAACGATCGCAGACCAGTGGCAAAAGGTAGTTTAGTACTTTGGGGACATTAGGAATTTTGTGACAATTTTGTCACGTGACAAATCGCGACCTCGTCCAAAAAATAGTATATTTTTTTATTAGGAGTTTAAATGATACTTTATGTGGCAAGGCTTGCGTTTGGCCGACATTACAGGCGAGGCACAAAAAGTCATTTTTATATGCTATTTTTTGAAAAAGTGACAAATAATTTTTTAAACACTTCCAAACAGTGCAAATAATATAAAAATATTTAAAAGTAATACCTTGTAAGTAATTATATATCGAGAAACTATAGTTACGCTCATTGAATTTGACACTTAATGTCAATTTAATAATATATTTTCGTACTTTTATGCTTAGGCGTAAAAGTGCTTTACTTTTATGCCTAGGCGTTAAAATGACTTTTTAGGATCAGCAAAAAAAAAGTTTTTTTCATTTCACTCAAAATGAGTTATTTGGGTCATAAATGACCTAAATACAAAATATTTTCGTGGTGTCTGTCTGTCTGTCCGTCTGTCCGTCTGTCCGTCTGTCCGTCTGTCCGTCTGTCCGTCTGTCCGTCTGTCCGTCTGTCCGTCTGTCCGTCTGTAACACGATAACTCAAAAACCGCTGAACCGATTTTAACAAAATTTGGCACAAAAATACTGTGGCACCCGAGAATCTGGCTATTAGTTTTGGTGGGGGTGGGGGTTGGTAAGGGGGTATAGGAGGGGGTTAAAAATTTTAAAAAATCGTAACTCCAAAATTACAGTAGCTAGCGAAACGCGATTTTCAAATTAAGATTAGGAATAATATTTGCAACAAAATTTGTAATAACATCAAAATCAGTCAAAGTCGCAATTTTCGAGATATTAACACATTTTAGATCGGCAAAAAAAAGTTTTTTTTAATTTCACTCAAAATGAGTTATTTGGGTCATAAATGACCTAAATACAAAATATTTTCGTGGTGTCTGTCTGTCCGTCTGTCCGTCTGTCCGTCTGTCCGTCTGTCCGTCTGTCCGTCTGTCCGTCTGTCCGTCTGTCCGTCTGTCCGTCTGTCCGTCTGTCCGTCTGTAACACGATAACTCAAAAACCGCTAAACCGATTTTAACCAAATTTGGCAAAAAAATACTGTGGCACCCGAGAATCTGGCTATTAGTTTTTGGTGGGGGGGGGTTGGTAAGGGGGTATAGGAGGGGGTTAAAAATTTTAAAAAATCGTAACTCCAAAATTACAGTAGCTAGCGAAACGCGGTTTTCAAATTAAGATTAGGAATAATATTTGCAACAAAATTTGTAATAACATCAAAATCAGTCAAAGTCGTAATTTTCGAGATATTAACATATTTTAGTTCGGCAAAAAAAAAGTTTTTTTAATTTCACTCAAAATGAGTTATTTGGGTCATAAATGACCTAAATACAAAATATTTTCGTGGTGTCTGTCCGTCTGTCCGTCTGTCCGTCTGTCCGTCTGTCCGTCTGTAACACGATAACTCAAAAACCGCTAAACCGATTTTAACCAAATTTCGCAAAAAAATACTGTGGCACCCGAGAATCTGGTTATTAGTTTTTGGTGGGGGTGGGGGGTTGGTAAGGGGGTATAGGAGGGGGTAAAAATTTTAAAAAATCGTAACTCCAAAATTACAGTAGCTAGCGAAACGCGGTTTTCAAATTAAGATTAGGAATAATATTTGCAACAAAATTTGTAATAACATATCAAAAAAACACATATAGATATTAACATATTTTAGTATGGGGGGCTATACGTGCCTCCCGGCGCCAATTTTTTCTATTGTTAATCACGTCGCAAAAATTAATACTTTATCTAAAGCGCAAATTAAAATATATTATTTTATTAGAATACTAAACACCTCTTTTGCTAAAATTTATTGCTTTTAATTATTACACGCTAATGTCATTTTTATAGTCACCTATACCGGGTGCGTCTCAAAAGTGGCTCACCCCTATAACATTTTTTATTTTTTCAATTGTTTTTGGTTTTTTACTACAACTTTTGATTTTTAAATGGCAATCTCAGTATATTTTTACTTTACGAAAGAAAAAGACACACTGGATTGAATGACATATATCATATGTCAACTCCTGACATTTTCGCATATGATTTATTTGAAATTGTAACATGCGATTCATAACGACAATTTGACTGAAAACGCCAAGTGTGGGGTACCAAATTATTCGTAAAAAATGCTTTTTCCAAATATGCTAATGAGCCACCCTTGTTCCATTTGAAAAAATGAGATGTGATTAAAAATATGATTTGGGCAGCTTTTAACCTGCGAGGACAAGACACGAAAAACATTAAACAATCAAAACTATTTTTCCAATGCACCTTGATTAAAAATTACAGTTTTTAACACAGATTCAAATTGAAAGTACGATTTGTTTTTAAGCGAAAATGTCAAAAGTTAACATGTAATATGTCATTCTATTCACAGTGTTATTTTCTATCGAATAAAGTAAAAATATACCGAGGGTGCCATTTAAAAATCAAAAGTTGTAGTCATTTCCGGTGAAACAGAAAGCGACCAAAAACAATTGAATATATCAATCAATCCTAATATATGTCATATACTAACAACATACAAAATCTCGTTTTTTATCTGCAAAAAAATAAAAAAAATATAGGGATGAGCCACTTTCGTTAGTAGTGAGACGCACCCGGTATACCAATATAATTTTAGTTATTTTTTTTAGAATTAATAGTTCTGTTAGTATTACTAATATTTATTAAAACCAAGCCTGTATCGTTACTTCTTAACATTTTCTAAATTTTAATCTAGAGTTCTAATCAGTATCGATATAACAGTACGACAATAGTTACCAAAGCCACCTCGTGATTAAATAACTATTAAAAAATAACATCATAAAGTAATGATAGTTGAAAAAGTTGCAAATTGTTGGTTGAAAGTTCATTCCGCTCTTAAAAATTAACCTATAGTTCAGTTACTGGGGATTTTTGCTTGGAAAAAAGTCCGGAAAAAAGTTTTGCATAAAATGCACATTTCTAGACTTGCCGCCGGCGCCGCCATCTCGCCAAGATGGCGCCCAAAATCGGTATTTTGTGAATATCTCGAAAAATATGCGTTTTTCGCAAAAAAATTGAAGAAAGAGAATTAAAGAGAATAAAATTTCCTATAAAAACGGTTTTATAAAAATTTTCGCTAAAGTCAACCGTTTAGGCACAAAATCCCTTTAAATTTTACAATTTTGCGTAAAATATGATATATTATGTATAGTCGATTTTCCGAAATCAAATGTCGATTAGGGTTCACTAAAACTAGTTTTAGTTTAGTTTCTTCAATTTTATCATAAAACAGTGGCGTATCATTAATTCGCTCATTAATTTATGAATAATTAATTTTAATTATTGAAAATGTGTACTTGTTTCCACACCATCCAAGAGGTAAAGTACCTGGCGCGTTTATTTTAACGTTTTTATACGTTAATTTTCATTTAACGGAGGCCTACTCCACTAGATAAATTAAAAACTTTAACTTATCTGCACAAGCCCGACGGAATCTGGCTCATTGATGTCAAAGTCGATCGTGTCTGCTGTGCTGGGCTCATCAGGGTGGTCTCTCAATACGTCCAACTCTTCATCCTCAGCCGCCAGAGGGATATCTACAGGCAAGTCCAACTCCTCTTCATCGGATTCGTCGAGTGACACTTCAGTGACGTTATCACAGGATTTCCGATTGCAGTATGCACAAATCATTGAACATTGTAATCCTGCTTTTCTGTATCCGCAGGCTTTACCATAGTTGTTGGTTTTGCATTTACAGGATAAAAATGCCAATAGGGATTTTGGAGCTGGATCTTTCAACGTTGTGACTGGAGTAATGCCTGTTTTTGTTTTCTCCAATCCCATTCTTCGGCATTTTTGGTACAACCAGACCAATGCTGAACCTGGTGGTAAGTTCGCAATGAATGCTGTCCAGCACGACAATTAATTATTCATAAATTAATGGGCGATAGTTTAATGGGCGATAGATAGAAATAGTTTTAGTGAACACTAATCGACATTTGATTTCGGAAAATCGACTATGTATAATATGTATATCATACTTTACGCAAAATTGTAAAATTTCCAGGGATTTTGTGCCAAAACGGTTGACTTTAGCGAAAATTTTCATAAAACCTTTTTTATAGGAAATTTTATTCTCTTTACTATTGCTCTCTTCAAATTTTTGTGAAAAACGCATAGTTTTCGAGATATTTACAAAATACCGATTCTGGGCTTGCCAAGATGGCGGCGTCGGCGGCAAGTCTGGAAACGTGCATTTTATGGATTTTAGTTAGGGACCCCAAAACCTATAAACCTGCAAAGTTTCCAAACCTCCGGACTTTTTTCCAAGCAGGCCCCTTTTTTTATCCCCAATGACTGAACTACTAGGCGTGTGTTGAGACATGAATCAAAAAAATAAAATGCTCCGGAGACATGGTTCCGACCAAAAATTAATGTTTTTGAAAAATTTGCCCACGAAATTATTGCACAGGGTGTTTTAAAGTTTTGGTAATAAACAACCCTTCAATTAACCTTTTATAATAAGCCAAATACTAAAGTTTATAAAAAACTGAGTTTATGAAATAAACCAAGTGATAGATTTATATACAGTTTGCTAAAAAATTCATAAAAATAGAGCTAAAAGTAAGAAAAATATAACACTTTAAACTTAACGAAAATATTTTCGGTTGCGTATTTTTTGCATCTGAGT